TTTTAGCCATTTAAAGTAGCTTGCCTTTCATGGTGTGCCTTGTTTAAATTTTAGCCATTTAAAGTAGCTTGCCTTTCATGGTGTGCCTTGTTTAAAGTAGGTTTTATCAGAACGTTGAAGTCTGACTTTATCAGTTAATGCTAGATCTGCTTCTCTTATAAGTGGGCTTTAGAAAGTGATCTTAATTCAGGTTCTTTTAGTTTCAGCTGTCGGGTTTTGAACGTTTGTCTTGTCTCCTATGGGAAACCAGCCATCGCATATTTCTCTCATTATGGTATTTCAAGCAATCCAGGCAGACACAAAGTCAACAAAACACCCTTATGTGTGAAGACAGGTGCAGATAGAGGCTTGGATTGTGCAATGGAGGAAAAACAATCTCGAATGCACTGTAATATGGAAAATTTAAAGAGGTTGCTGTAAAAAGGCACTGCTGTGTGTCTGTGTGATTATGAAACCATATTAGAAATGTCCACCCACGCTGAACAAGTAATTGAACRCAAATCTCGGATGACAGAAGAGTGGGAGAAGCCTTCTCTTTAGGGGCACTGAACTTAGTTGCTGTTGAATTCTTTTCATATGTGCCTATGTGTGAATATATGTTTCTTGCTGAAAAATAAAAATTCAGTACGGAACTAAAGTTGCCTGGTGATATTTTGTTGCCTAATATAATACACAACTTGGRAAAACTGGAACTTTCTGTGGAGAACATTGGCATGCATGAAGGCTCAGGCACGTGCCAAAATTATTGCACATCAGCAGAGCTTCAGTGTTTAAACACGTGGCAAACACATATATAGACATGTTCTCTTAGGCTAAAATAGTTTACTTTTGTGGTGGTTTATAGCCGGATTAGCGAGTTACTGAGGCTCTGCAACTTCATAGCTTGTTGAAACAAAGGAAGCTTGGTTACATAGCTGAGGCACTGAAGTTTCTTTTCCAGAATAGTTCATGTGGGACAAAAGTCATTTTTAGCAATGAGAAATCTATGCAGTCTGTCTTATAATGTCAYGCTACTTGTCCTCAGAATATTCCTGAATATTTTTGCAAGACAGAATGTAACATTCTATCTTTTGGACTGTCTCTCAAAGATAGCAGAACTTAGGCTTGTGCGACCAAGTATTTCTTGGCTTTCAACTCTATTTGTGAACTTGAGATTGYACCTCAATTCAAATTCAGGTAAAGTATTGGGAGAGATTACTTTGCTTCAGTCTCCTTCTCTCCCCTAGGAATCCACTCCTCACACATATACATGAGCACTGAGTAGGGCTGACAAACTTCTTTTACCATTTAAAAATTATACTTTCTCCTGATCCAAGCATCAGAMTTTTTTTCTCTTTGCTGGTATCTTTACTCATCTATTCAGATTTTTAAAGCTGTCCCATACACTTTTCAGTGCTTTGCTTTGTGCTTTGATTTTTTTATGGTTTTCACTTGTGTTAGCCAAATGTAAATCTAASTTGTATGTATGGAAGCATTACGACAAATTAACAGACTCTTTTCTAAAGAGTCTCAGATTTTTTTCCAACAGCTGGSTTCAGACTGGAAAACGGAGAATGTGATGAAAGAAAATCAAGATTGGTTAAACTAGCTGGCAG